AGAAATCGGCAATTTATTAGCACAGAAGTTCAAAGTTGTTTTATGAGCATATTTTCCATTCTAACAGACTGTAGAGCTTTCTGCATTTCAGCAGATTCTTCTAAACGGAGAAGCTTTTGAGACAGACTCAGTACTGCACTTTTTGATGCTGACATGAAGAGCTGCTCTTTCGAGCACCCTGTACTGGAGCAGGTACATTTCTCAGTGAAAGTTTTAGTATAAAAAATGGCAGGTTTTCGCAAGAGAAACTTTGTCATCACAAAACTATTTTGTTACGCTTTTATGAAAAGCCACGGGAGCATGAGGAAATGCTGTGTTTACCAACCCACTTCCCACTATTCTTGATTAAGAGCTAGGAGCCCAAAGATGAAAAGTTAAATAATATGTATAATTGTGAAGACTGATTACTTTTAGAAAACAAGCATAGAGGAAACTCATTTGGTTTACATTAATTTGGTACATATTGCTCACACGTACAGTCTGATTAACTTCAGCTGGTTGCATGGGTCTGTGAAGAATTTTTTGTTAGTTTGTCAGAATGAAAATTCAGTGATCCTCCTCTCTAAAATTCCGTGGCCAAATAATACAGATATTTATCTAGACATCAGACAAGTGTATCCACCCCACTATTCCATGTATACCAAACTGTAAAAGACAAAAACATAAAGATGACTGGCATATTTTCCTAAAAAGCACATTTGACCACCCCTCTGCTCACCACTTTTGTTGTCTGGCTCAATGAGCTTTTGATACTCCTCTTGCACAGAAAAAATATGTTCTACACAAAAAATGGACAAACATACAAAATAAATATAACTCGCTGAAAACCCCTTTACCTTTTCAAGAATCTTTTCCCTGACCAAGATTATGAAAATACTTTCAGTAATATTTGGTACAGGCTGTGAGAAAAGGGGAGGGAGAACAGATGTGCCTTTAAAACAGAAGTTTCTGGACCTCTGTTTCAAAACTGATCAGAAACAGAAAAGCAATTGCTATATTAAGGGCATTCCCTTTACAGTTTACTCACAAGAAATATGTTTGTCCTGGAAAAAGCTGCTAAGCAGCTGGCATATGAAGCCAGCTCAACACTGCTAAGCTTTCCAAGAGAGAAACCACCTCTCCAGTCAGTCTTCTAGAAAGAGCAGTAATAGTGGTTGGCAAGTTGCGAGAGCATTTTTTCCACCATTTGCTTTTCCAGATTCTTTCTTCTTTGTAAGATTCAGAACATTCCCCTATTGTGATAGATTAAAACAAAAAATAAACTAAATTTTCAGTCACAAAATTATCTGGTGTGGAGAAGGAATAAGCATGAAGATAAATATTTACATACCTTGACCTGTAACTTGGGTTTTGATAATTTCAAAGTGAAATATAAAATACCTTGCAAAGGAAAGGATTTACTGATACTGTTTATGCTTATGAAAGTTTTGAAGCATATACTATCCTGAGAATGTAAACTTTCCTCCCAGTGCTTGTCCTGAAGAAGTAACAGCCTCCTACACATTCTGAAACTCTGAAAGTCAACTGAGACAGAGGGGGGGAAATTCCCAGTATTTTACATAACAATTCGACAGACATTGCGGTAATGCTGTGACAACTGTAGTAAGAAGTAAAGGTATACAAGAATACAAATACCACAAACTTTCTTTTTGTGACAGTAGCATGTTTAGGTTCTGAATTAACAAGGTAAACAGGAATAAGGCCAAAAAAACCCGTTCAGCACTTTTATAGCACTTTTTAATCAGATCTGTTTCTACCTAGATTTGCAAGATAACACATTAGAGTAACTGATACAAGTACTGCTTCATATTTCAGTTCTGCAACAGGCTCAGCAAAAGTATTGGTTCCTTTTGAAGTTTAACCATTATGTGCCTCTAAGAGCAAAACCCAGCCTGAAATACATGCCTAATGACACTTGAAAGCCGTTCAAAAAAAAATTTACCCAAACTTTCTGCAATGTACACACAAGCACATGTAGTATAACTATACACACCCCTGAATTTGAGAGCATTTTCCACCACGTTTGTTAATAGAATTTTCACATAGTCATAACTATGTTAAATCAAAGCCAACCGATGGCAATGATAAAATGCTCAGAAGCCCCACAGTGAAGCATCTTTACATTTGGGAAGTGTTAATGTGCAATATAAACATTTTGCCTTCCAAAGCCACCATGTATACCAGAACACCAAAAGCAATTAGTATAATATGCACAGAAATACACATGCAGACATACATGCAGAATATTCTCTAGCGTATTTTTACATGAGCATAAACATTCTGCTGTGAGGTCTAGGACAAGGGGAGAACCCACTCACCTTCACAAATATATTGCCGATTTAAATGAGAAAATATGCTTTGGAAGAACAGCAAAAGAACTTTTTTTTTTGGCCAGCAGTTCGAAAATTGTAACATACACTTTAATGAGTTTTTTTTTATGTTATGGGCTGATGGGGAGGTCACGAGGAGAAGGGATATACATGTATTTTTTAGCACGAGACCTGCACAGGTTCCATTGAACAGACTGCTATTGTGAGATGCCCAGCTCCCATTTTGAAAGGGCCTTCTCACGCACAGGAAGGAAGGAACAAAGCAGCAAATCTAGTATGACCAGGAACTATCAGCTTAATGACTTGCTTTCTTTCAGAGAAGCTGTGGTGAGGGTAAATGCAAGTAACAAACAATGCTGGTATAAGGGCTTGAACAAGTTCTTCTCCAAAGATGAACATAAAGCCGCTAGTACCTTCTCTCTTGGACTATGTAATAGCTGTTGCATTTGTCTCATGTAAATGACCATGCTTCTGTGCCAATGTAGCATTTAAGCTAAAAGCGAGCATTATGAAATAAAATCCAATCCTGTGCAGTCACTGCTGTGCAGCTGAGCTGAGTGTGGCCTTCATACGGATGGGAAAGAAAAAAGGACCGATAAAGCTGGAAGAAAACGTAACTAAAACCAATGAATGTTTAATAAGAAAAAAAATGAGTGAGAAAAAAAACCAAACAACTTTCTTGCTGAACCTCTGTAAATCCCTACTCATATTTCAAATCAGTGGTCAAATCTTCTGCTTCCTATTTCCTTCAAAGTGAACCACAAATCTTCCCTAACCCATTACCTTACGAGGCAGGTGCAGGCAGGAATGGGGGTTTACACTGTGTTGGCAATAAGACATTGTCATCATAATTGTAGGGAATCAACCATTGTATTATGCAAAAAGAACAACATTTTATTACGTCTCAGTGCTTTTATTATTTTATTATGCTGAAATACAATGCCCCTTTTCACCCAGAGAATAACTGATAAATGCATTATCTCCCAATTCATTGTCACAAAGCTAGAATGAGATAAAAACTGCCTCAAAGTAATCCTCTTAAGCCATTATGACCTGCTATTTTTACTGTTAAATTTCAAGCTATTAACATACTCACTACTTAAATACAAATTATAAGCAAAACACTTATTTGATTTCCCAGTACCATATACCTTAGGCAGAGACACAAAGCAAAGCAGTATGGCCTCTGTAGCTATTTACTCTGCCTGGCATATGGAAAAACTTACTGCAAATGTTCACATTCTAAACAGATAAATGCACTGCAATTCCCGTTGGAAAATGCATCTAGAACCCTACCCAGGTGGCTCATCTTTCTGTACTAGAAGTTTTTTGGCTGGTGATTATTAATTAGGGACACCTACATTCATGCTTTAAAACAAACAAACAAAAAGCACATTTGTATTCTAGCAAACGATAAGCACAAAGTAAAAAATAAACAAACCAAAACCAAAACCCGCAATTGGTACTGTCCTACACTGGCACAGACAAAATGCCACACTTTATAGCTTACTAGAGATCATAAGTAATCTAGCAGAAAAGTTCCTGTAGAGTGAAGGAAAGAGACTGATAAAGACTTGGGATCCATCATGTACTTGTTGTTTGGTTGGTTTTTTCCCCCAAAGGGAACTGGTAACATAATAGCTTTCAGAAAAATACACGGAGATTTCAGAAATCTGAACATTTTGTAGTATACTTTGACAACGGGAATTGGAAGATAAGCTTCTCCACTGTATTGTGCACAATTTACGAAGGCTGCATAGATCTAGTAACGTTTACACTGCCAAAACAAAATACGAGCAGAGCCAAAAATTAATTATAACCAAGTAGACCTCAAAAGCACAAGTGTTTCCTCTGCCCTATGGGTCTTGCTAATCCACTCCCATGACATGGAAAGGTTTTTCCACAGGCCTGAAACACGCTGTGGAAAACAGGATTCAGCACTGAATGGCTCAAGCAGAAAAGCACACGCAGTGCACTCTCATGTGACCTGCCGCAGCTTGTGGAAATCACTGGGTATACCAAAGCATGAAGACTGAGGGAAATGTTTAATAGCTGCATTGCTGCTGCTCAGCTTTAGGACACTTCAGAAATGGCTAAGTAATATTAGTCTCTGACCCGAGGCATCCCAAGTGCTGCTATCATAAACATCACAAATACTATGAAGCTACATCCCAGGGAAAAAAAAATGGCATCTTTTCCACAATTTAAAGTTTATATTCACAGTTTCAGGTTAAATCTCCGAGTATTTCTGCATGGGCCACCTTTGCTGATATTAAAAAGTATCTTTACTCATATGCCACGTTCTTAATAGATAATAAACTCCTTGGGATTTATTGGGAATTAGGTTGCTAAATGTTTTAGAATTGCTGGAAAGTACAGAGGAGATGTATAAATAGATTAAAACAAAAGAATAATGTATGTTTCTCAGGCTTTCAGCACATACCACAGATAACAGAATTCTCAAAGAGAGAAGGAAAAAAACCCAACCAAATGAACAAAAAACCCCAACAAAAACACACAAAACCCCAAGCCTTGACTAGTTGCCAGTCCAAAAACAGCTACATTCATATCAGCCATCAAAAAACTCCACGAGAAACTGAATCCCTTCTACACTCTCACACAAGAATTAGAGCAGAGACACTCATCTCCCACCACAGTGCACTATGTTACCTGTGGAGTCAAATATAATCGGCTGGCAGTTTCTGTTGGAATTCCAGTTACATTTCAGCACCTGGCCTCCTTCTACGATGTTATGCTGAGTAGTGTTTGCTTTTGGAGCTCCCACCAGAAGAAATATCCTGCAGTAAAAAGAAGAAATAAAACAAAGCTTTCAAAACCTAAGGTACATTCAAATATAAATCTGACTAGAACTACTTCGAGTTTCAGAGAAATTAGTATAAAGGTTTTAGGTCTTGGGTCCTTCTTTTCCGCAAGCAAAAGCAGACCAAAAAAAAATTATGAAAGAGACAAAAGAAGATAAAACTGAAGTACTCTGACCTACTTAAAATTATATTTTAAATTAGATAAACACCTTTTATATTCCTTTTTCCTTTCAAAATTACATGTGTAGTAAAACAGGAAATCACGTACTTCTGTAATTTCAGCAACTCAACAGCTGGTATAACTTCTGGTTAGTTTAGTGCACAAAAGTAATTCAAGGAAGTCTGTTTATTGTTTCCATTTTTGACTAACAAAAAAGTAGCTCTTCTGAGCTCAGAAGGTACTAAGTGGCAAGTCAGCCTAGTATTGGCAAATGCTCTTTTAAAAAGAATCTCAAAGTACCCAAGTGAATGTTGACCACAGGCTTTTACGTTAATGAATCTCTAGTGAAATTCATTACACAGTAATAATTTCCTTATTCAGACCCGATATGCTTTTATAAATCTCTGTTTATACAAACAAGAACTGCTACAAGATTACGTCTATGCAGGGGATAAAATTCAGAAGTTGTGAAGTAAGAAACAGACCAAATAAAAAGCCAGACCAAACAAGGTTCTTAGCATCTTCCAACAAGGTTACTAACATCTTTCAGGAACTGCTACACCTCTAGGACACACTTGACTCATCAGCACTTTCCTGAAGAAGTCAGTTTGAAGTACAAAGACATATAGAAGCCGTAACACTAACTGCTTCCTTTCATCAGAATCTCCTCTGTTTCCATATGGACTGTTTAAGAGAAAATATAGTTTGCAAGAGGAAGTCATATCATCCCCTATCAAGTGCTATGGTTATTTAGTTTTGAAATTTGGTTTGCTGAACAAGCTGCAAGACTGGTTGGATAGAATGTCTACAGGTAAGCAGATCTGGACTTACCAAACTTGTTCTGGTTTTCAGAGTAATCTTTCAGACTGCACTTTAGTCCAGAGCTATGTTACTATTTCTTCATATGTAAATACCAAGTATAAACACAGAGCATCTCATCAAAGCTCAATTCACACGAAGATCAACATAGGCTACCAGTTTTCAACTCATTTGAATTTGCTGAACCTCAAAAATTTCCTGGTGCAGACCCTAACAGAAAATCTAGGTTAGTCAGCAATCCATTCGTTTCCCTTAGCTGCCATTCATAGACTCTCTACAGTCTGAGAACAAGAAACCATATAACAAGGCTCATTTTAGTAAACACCTTTTGCTAATCATGCTGCAAAACAGTTCACTCTGTTTTCTACCTAACGTTTACCCGCAGACATAGCTGAGCTTGATGTTCATCACCACTTTTCTTTTCCCTCCATCAGCCTGAGGGAACCTGCATGCATTCCAGTCTGCAGCGTGTGCATGTTGATCCTTCCTAAATGACAGGGAAGACACGGGCCTACGTCTGGAGGGCACAGCATACATGGATTTCTGGCTATTTCAGAAGGCAAAAAGATCAGTCTCCATAGGCATCAATTCAAAATTTAACACTATTAGAGCCTGTTCCCACAAAAGCTGTATAACTACTTTGTTTCAGTTATAAGCTTCAATTTAAGATAAAGTGCTGTACTAGACTTTAGTTTAGCAGATACAGACTAACTTATAGTGGCAGCTAAAAACCGAGGAGAAAATTCCCTTAAAAATATGAAGGAGTCTTCCACGCTGTCTGAGAACCACTGGTGATCAAAGTTAAAAAAAAAAAAAAAAAGAACGCCAACACTGTGTCAATGCTGTTTTCTTTTACAGCCAAGCACTTTGAGGTCAGTAGCTCTAAAAATAAAGGAAAGGTTCCAAATAGTGATTTCACTGAGAGCTGGATTGCTTAATTCCTTATCGGAAAGCAAAAAGGAAAGTTTACTATATGTATTTACCAGTTTCCCAGTAACTCTGCAGCCTCACATGCTGACTTAAAAATGAAGGGAGAGACACAAACAGAACTTTTTTTTTTTCTTCAGTACTAAGAGGATTAAAATAGCAAAGAAAGATGTTGCAACACATGAAAGTTAAGACAGGATGACTTCTAGTATTTGTAAGCAATAAAGAAATGCAAACAAAGCTAACTGATGTACTGCAAAAAGACTTGCTCAATAGCTATAGAATTGTTTATAAAGTTTTAAGAGCTCAAGATCGAGAGAAAAAGAAAATTCCCTTGGCATGACGGAAGCCAGCAGCTTTTCCATCTTTACAGCCCTTTAAGATGGGAAAGGAGAAGAAACTGGCAAAAACTGGATCTTAACGTAGCCTATGCTTGCAAAATACAGACCAATTCATGACGGTAACACCATGACTTCAAAGTTAGCGACACGACTATTCAAAAGACAGAAACAGATCAGTTAACCGGCTACTGCACATTGCGTAATGCTCGTTTAACATGAAACGAGAATGTATTCTTCAAGAAGATGGGGAGGGCATTACTCTTACTTCCCTAGACTGCTCAGCAGCTTTGTGACCCACTCAGACACAGCACAACTCAAACGCGCTGCTTCTGTAAAGAGCAGTCAAAAAAGAGAACAGCAGAACTTTGGAAGTTTCACAGGACAAGACCTCAGGTGTGAGACGTGAGGAAGCAAAATACCATACCTTCATCTTCCTACGCTGTATTTATCACCACTATTTGCATAAACAGCAGACTGACTAAGCTACTGAGAAAATCCAGGAGTGCACAGTCAAAGCCGCGTCAGCGAACCTACCGACTGCGTGAAATCAAGGTCTGCTTCCCGGCAAGAGCGTCTGAGCAGCCAGAGCCCCCCCAGAAGGAGGCGGCGATGCAGCCAGGTCTGCGTGGCTCTGCTGCCGCGGTACCCGTGCAGGGTGGGGCCGCGGCCACC